GTCCCGTCTTGCTGTGCGTATGCGTGAGTGCACCTAAGCTTTGTAACATCACGTTTCAGCACGTGAGACATGAATTTACTAATGTCCCGTCTTGCTGTGCGTATGCGTGAGTGCACCTAAGCTTTGTAACATCACGTTTCAGCACGTGAGACATGAATTTACTAATGTCCCGTCTTGCTGTGCGTATGCGTGAGTGCACCTAAGCTTTGTAACGTCGCGTTTCAGCACGTGAGACATGTAGATTTCTATTTATACTAATGTCCTGTCTTGCTGTGCGTATGCGCGAGTGCACCTAAGCTCTGTAACGTCGCGTTTCAGCACGTGAGACGTGTATTTTTACTAATGTCCTGTCTTGCTGTGCGTATGCGTGAGTGCACCTAAGCTTTGTAACGTCGCGTTTCAGCACGTGAGACATGTAGATTTCTATTTATACTAATGTCCTGTCTTGCTGTGCGTATGCGCGAGTGCACCTAAGCTCTGTAACGTCGCGTTTCAGCACGTGAGACGTGTATTTTTACTAATGTCCTGTCTTGCTGTGCGTATGCGTGAGTGCACCTAAGCTTTGTAACGTCGCGTTTCAGCACGTGAGACATGTAGATTTCTATTTATACTAATGTCCTGTCTTGCTGTGCGTATGCGCGAGTGCACCTAAGCTCTGTAACGTCGCGTTTCAGCACGTGAGACGTGTATTTTTACTAATGTCCTGTCTTGCTGTGCGTATGCGTGAGTGCACCTAAGCTCTGTAACGTCTACTGCCATTGTTAACGACCAAGACAAATGTCTCCGTGCGAGATGAATAAAGGTTGTCATTGTCATTGTCTTTATTTCTTTTCTTCCGTATTACGGTAAGTGCCCACGATTAGACTTTCTACAGCCTTTCTTCTACTACTCCTTAGCTCCTTCATATTGCTGTCTATCAGCCACACCCCTGATCTTCTGGTAGGAAAGATCTACACCCAGCCTTCTCGGACAAGGGCTAAAAATCTCGGCGGGCCTGTGTTCAAGTTGCGCACGTTAAAGATCCCTTGGTGGTCCAAAATCGATAAGAGTAGGCTTCGGTAGCCACCAGGGAAAAATTCAAAATTTCCTACCAACTAAAAAAATTAAATGTGTCCCGCGCGCCCATATGACAATTATGAAATTGCGAGCGCAGTAAAACACTTACTAAAAAAAAAAATTTTTTAAAAGACGTGGGACTTGAGAGTAGCACAAAGAAATGGAGGAGGCGTCAGAAGAACGCTAATTGTCAGTATTTATCTAAGTCTGTTTTAGTAGAGGTTTTACGGCGCTCGCAACTGCATAAGGTCACATGAGCGCCAGCAGAAGATTAGAGGTGTTACAAGAGAGTAACAAACATAAAAAAGAAGAAGGGGAGATAAGAACGATACATATTTGATAGGAAAGAAGAAGCAAACCACACCAGAGCACCCGCCAACCACCCACAAGAAAAAAAACAGGTCTGACAACAGTATAATATTATAAGTATAAACTAGATTGGTCCGCGGATACGAGACTCTGCTAAACGTCTTTTACGGACATTGCATTGGCTTCCTGTTGAGAAAAGAATTGCGTACAAGTCGACCACCCTATGTCACAAATGTTTGAATGATAATGCGCCATCGTATTTATCAAATCTGTTACGACTGTACATCCAACGCGCAGTTTAAGGTCATCAGCTGACAAAAAGGAAATTTATTTTACCATCTATGAAACTTAAAACAATGGGTGAAAGGGCATTTGAATACCAAAGCCCCGAGATCTGGAATGCTTTACCAAGTACTTTAAGAGAGATCAAATCTTTTGATTCATTCAAATGTCAGCTGAAGTTGTTTCCGTTCGTAAATAATTAATAAGATGAATATTCGGAGTGATTTTCTTTTAGTCAGAACACAACGTTTTATGTTACTGTTGTACGTTGTACTGTATTGTAA